CTATCTTCTATCTTCTTATATCTATCTTCTTATATTATTTATTATTTTCTAATTACAGATATAACTCTTTCTAATAACAGATATAATTTCCATTTTTTTTAAATAACGAACATTGTATATCAATGTTATTAATATAATGCTTACAACTGCAAGCGCTAAAGCGAAGCCGTATCGTAAAGCGCGATCGTTTCGATGGTCAGAAATCAGAATCGCCGAACGAGCAGGCTAGTTGTGAGAATAAAGAGTGAAAGAGTCAGGACTAGATTTGCTAGTCTCGTCTATTACCCGACGGCGGCCGAACTTCCGAACTCTCACGGACATGCTTTCTCCTTGTGTGCGGCATCCCCACTCCTTGACTCTCTCGTGACTGTCATCTTGAATCTAGCATCACTGCTACCAACTTAATAAAAAAAATATTTCAGAATTGATGAATCCGCGCAGTTTAAATTTAAAAATCTCATTTATATTTGATCACAGTAGTACATCATGACATGTTAAGAAAAAAGCGCCGATACTCCGGCTGCTATAAACAAATTACGATTCGGAAGACCTATGATGATGATGCTTCGATTTAGACAAATAAATAGCATTGATGACTGTACGTGTTGCGACGTGTTAAGAGAAAAAGCGCCGATAATCCGGCTGCTATAAACAAATAGATAAACAAATTGCGATTTGGTTGCAAACGTATGACGACGCTCCGGTTTAGACAAAGAGAGACAAAAGAAACTGCAGATAATATATAATAGGTCATTAGGCACGCGGAATCATAAGTGCTTTGGAAGTCTAATGAATCAATCGAATGTGAGAAAAAAATGAAACATCTAGAGCTCGGAATTAGTTGCTCTTTTCGACTCGATTTCGAAGGTGACGCCTATTGTCCCCCACTATCGTTCGAAGCTTGACGATCGAGCCGCTCACGCTTTCAGGAGCGTTTTACATTAAAAATGCACCCGAATTGTATCTCCCGCCAAACCATTATTAAAGCAATTTCTTTATTAAATTATTTTTATTTTTGTAAACATTAAATTTTTTAAAACAAATTTTATGTATTTTATATTATGATAATATTTAATGATAATAAATAGATTTACAATAGAATTATTACATAATAATTAGAATAAATAAAGTTTTAACAATAGGTTCCGCATCACTCGTAAGATATTATTGACGTATTTTTTTAAAGTGGTTTCCTTATTTAATAGTTTTCTATTTTATTAAAAAAGAATTAAATGTATGATTATTTTATTAAAAAAGAATTAAATGTATGACTTGATAAGAAATGAAAAATAAGAGCGTGACCAATATAACTTTTGTTTGTTTAGAATTTAAACTTCTAGTTACTATGTAATAATTCTATTGTAAACCTATTTATTATTATTAAATATTATTACACAAATATTAAAATACATAAAATTTGTCATTTTTAATTAATTAAGACATTACTGAGGCACCAGACTACAGCGGCTCGGCCGTCAAGTCTCGAGCGGTAGTGGGAGGACTGTAGGCGTCGCCCTCGACGCCGAAAAGGGCAACTAATTCCGAGCACTGATCTAGAGCGAGTGGAACGCTGCTGGAGCAGTGCAGCCAGGTCGTTATCTTAGTGGAGTGTTTCGCGTGACTGCAACGATGCGATGAGTGCATCGAACAACTCGAGGAATTCAGCCATGTTAAGCGTTCTCGACTTACTGTTGCAAATAGACAATCTGATGGCGAGGATCATGCGACTCGCCGCAAATCGGTGCAAAGGTACAATTAGAAAGACTTTGTGCATGTTGGTGGCGAGTACGCGAGCACCAATAAAGACGATGGATCTCTCGTTTGGCGCGAGATTGATACAACGTTTGAAAACCGTATATTGACTGATGTGGTGATTAATGTGAACTATATCAAGCAGCGACGATTTTTGGAAGACGTTGGTGGTGTAGTGCTCGAGCGAGTGTGAGACATTGTACAGAGACACGATAGTGTGAAAGTGCATATCCATAGATTTTATAGATATGGACTGGCAATTGCTATAATTTCTGCATAAGAAACAGTGTCCACGGGAGGTTAAACAGACGTACTTTTTGAGACACTTCTTTCTCTTAAGATGTCCGGAAATATGTATTGCGCATGGGTTCAAAGCATATGGCGGATTAATATAATAATATGATCGAAAACAAAATAAATGTTAATAAAGAGTGAAGAATGAAAGACTTTATAGTCGAACATATAAAATGCAATAAAATAAAAAAATATATATATAAGAAAAGTGAAAAAACATATCAAATAAAATTTTTAGATTAATCTGTGGAAAGAGTTTTAAAATAAATGATATGTAATTCTATATCGTAAGTTTATTTTTATGGTAATTCTGTAAAATAATAAAAAAGTAAATAAAAATTACAATATTTAATGAATCATGGCATACTTGCTGCATACTTAAATTTGGTTTATATATAGTTTCTAATGTTGTTTATTTTATATACATGATACATTTTTAAATAATGAAATTATAAAAGAATAATTTCCTTTAAAAATGCGAGTTCTTGGAAAATATGATAATTATAATTATTTTGAACAATAAATGTTTGAGACTAATAATAAATGGTTTCTATAAATAGGCAGTTCATGTTGTTTATTACTTATTGTCACTTTAAGTCTTCTTATTCTTTTTTTTCATCGCTCACAAATATATTTATTCTGTTTTAAATATTGAAAATTCTAAGAAACGCGAACTTAATGTTCTAATAAAATCTATTAAAAAAGTGAGTAGTAAATTTGTGAGTAGTAAATGTAAATTTTTTTTTATTCAAATGAAACAAATAATTTTTTTCTAAGAATTATTATATACGAATAAGAATATGATAATTGAATTGAATTTATAATTTAAAGCTCTCAAAATTTATAAAATTTATTTATTTATTTGTAAAATAAAAAAATTTCAAATACTTCTTGCAATTGTTAAATTATTTAAGTTCTTGAATTTTGTAATAAAAATTAATAGTTTTTTTGCCTATAACATTAGAGGATTTAGAAAAAATAGAAGAAATAAAAAATGCAATTCATATTTAACATGCCTTTTTTATTATTTTTATTATTATTTATATATGTTAAATAAAAATATGTTAAATAAAATTAATTTTGTTAACTTTTGTCGATTTTTTTTTCTTTATTATACTTTTTTGCAAAATGATGAAATCTTATATTTATATAGTGTTCTATTATACATAGAATTAATTGTCTTTTATGATTATTAAATGGTTCCGAAAGAATAGGAAGAATATCAATCCATATAAAAAAATAGATAAGGTAATATATGTTGCATAATTTGATTAATAATTACAGTTTTTATATTTTGTTTAAAAATATTATTTTGATTTTGTCTAATAATTTTTTCTGTCCAAGTACAAATATAAGTAACATCTCTTGATGGCTTAATCAATTTACTTCTATTTTTAAGTAACAGTAGATGTTTCATTTAGTTCCAATGCTTTTCGCATATTGTACATATCTTTTTTTTAATTGTTTGATTTATGACAAATCCAGCTATATATTCAGTGATATCTTCGACAAATGGAGTTAAAGAAGTAATAGTAGAAACATAATCATGGTCAACTAAAAAGTTTACATCAAGATGAACTTGATTATCTTTTTTACTATAATGAGTTATATCAGTAATATTCTTATGTTTCGAAATCGGTAATATTGATGTAGGATCCAATATTGTGCAATTAGCATATTCTGATTCTGATACTTGGTGTACCAATAGTCTTTTGTAGGCACTTTCAAATTGAATACATGTTGGATTATTATTAAATCCTCCACGGCATCGAATTGCACTGAAAAATAACTCTAAATGGTCTTGTAATAATCTATTAGAAGTTAGGTCGGAACAGTTCCCGTGGAAGTGGGACCTCACCTTAAATACCTGGGTCTTATCTTGGATGGCCGGTAGGGGTTCAGGAGGCACTTTGATTTCCTGGCCCTCAGGGTAGAAGCGGTGGCCAACAGACTTAGCCGCCTCCTGCCCAACCTGGGAGGTCTGGGCGCCAAAACGAGGCGCCTCTATGCGCACCGTCCACTCGGTGGCCCCTTATGGCTCGCCGATATGGGCCCGTCGCCTGGCGAAGGATAAAAAGAGCTTCCGCCAAATGAGACAGGCGCAGCGCGATTCTGTGCTGCGCCTGGCGAGGACTTATAGGACGGTATCGCACGCGGCGGACACGGTTCTGGCCGGGACGCCCCCCATTGACCTGCTGGCGGCAGGATACGCCCAAGTATATCGCCAGCTGAAAGCTCGGGGGATAGTCCGTACGGCTGGGACCGTAGAACCAATCCGCCAGGAGGTGCGACGCTGGGTCGTGGAACACTGGAAGACCCGGCTACACGAATCCGGCATCGCAGGCTCCTGGACGATAGAAGCCATCCGATCCTGCCTCGAGGAATGGCTCGGCAGAGTCCATGGGGGCTTGTCCTTCCGATTGGTGCAGGTGCTGACCGGCCATGGGAGTTTTGGCATTGGCCACAAGTACTGACCTGCGCCGAATCGGATGGGAGCACACGGCACAGTGCTCGCACTGTGCGGCGGGCGAGGACACCGCGCAGCATACATTCGCGGAATGTTCCTTGGGAGGAAAAGTGCGGTGTCCTCGCCCCAGTGTTGGGCAACGACTTCTCACTGCCGGCCGTCATCAGTGGGATGGTCGGCAGCGAGAGAGTCTGGAGGGAGGTCTCCTCCTTCTGCGAACAAGTAATGTTGCAGAAGGAGGAGACGGAGCGGGAGGGAGGGAGGGGGAGGCTGCCTTCTCCCACCGACAACCGCCCCGGGAAGAAAGCGGAGGAACGCGGCGCCGGTTACCGTGGTGCCTGCGGATCCCCTCTATGGTCGACTGATCTCCCTGGTGGGAAGGGGAGTAGCCTCCCTCTCCTCCCGAATCGGAGAGGTCGGACGACTCGGCCAGCAAGGCCGAGCCGGAGAGGACCCCCGGTGATGGGAGGATCGCATTCGTGATGATCCCATTGCACTCCCATCCTATACCCCCCCGGCACACGCGAGTGTCAGGATGGGGTGGGCTGAAGCCGTCCACTCCTCCTCATCCTTCCCCCCCTTTTAGGAGGAAAGAGAGGTCCGCCTCCCAAAGGGAGTATAGTGGGGGAGAGGGCAATTCCCCCACCGGGAGGAGCGCGTCCCAAAAAAGCGCGCGGGCACAGGGCGATTGAGAAATATATTGCAAGTGTTCCCCGATCGCCCCAATCATGCGCTTTGGACGACACCCGTGAGGTTTTAGTGGGTAGGGGGCCGCGCCAATTGCAGCTCGAGTCCCACACTTTCCCGGGCGAGCTCAAATGTTCGGGAAGTTAGTGCGTAACAGCATTTCCTAATGGAAAAAAAAGGTTGTGCTAACATTGTGCCAAAATATTATCTTTAAAAAATAATAACAATAGAAGTTATGATAAAAAATAGATTTAGGAAAAAAATATATAAATGATATTTATTCTTATATCAGTCATCTAAGCATGCAAATGCATATCTAATATATACTCACTTAGCACAAATCGGCACAACCGTCGGTTTCGTCAGCACAATGATATGAAAGACACTTTATTCAGGAAACTTGTACTAGGTTAGCACAACTCAGATATGCAGTATTATAAACATCCAATAACTGCAAACCCGAATTTTTAACAAAAAATGCGTGCGCTAAGGACCGCGTTCAAGAGTAAAGTGTCCTTCATATCGTTGTGCTGACGAAACCGACGTTTTTTTTTGCGAGAGGAGGAAAAATGCATTGATTGGATGTTACCGTTCCCTCCAGGGAGTGTGGGACTCACTCGGTGGCCGAGTACTACCCACTAAAACCATCCTATATATGACTACAACACAAACAGCTATTCGGATGGAACCCCGGAACGCCACAGACGCAACTTCAGGGCCCATCCAGCCATGCTCGTAAACCGAAGCCCAACAAATACGGTAATTAACTTCTTTTATGTTACAGGAACCCAACATTCGGACATCCCCATCACCAGGACCAGGACAACCAAGACCAGGAGGACCAGGGACTCTCGTCGCGGGAAGAGGAAAAAGGAATCAGGTAAGAACATAAAATGTCCACCAGATCCCGTGACAGGTGCATGTTTGCGGGAATGCGGGCGCACAGCCGATCCGCCATACGGGAGACCGATCCGCCACGCGACGGAACCCGACGATCAGCCTAAGCTGATCCCCTAAGTCACCACGATCAACGCACTCTGTCTTCGTCTTTCCGCATCTTCCTTGTGAGACATGATCTCATCAATTATTGATTCGATCCATTGCCACTCTTCGCGTCCCAATAACATAGACTCGACGAGTGTATCCACCGTTAAACTTTTACCGAGTCTTCGCTCGACCTCTTCACGCAGATAAGACCATGCCTCACAAAAGAATATAGTGTGATTAACATCGTCCCGTCCTGCAGGACAAAACTCGCATCGCTTTGTATGAAGTTTCGTAATCCTATATAAATATGTGCTAAAACAGCCATGATTCGTCATTGCCTGTGTCAATCGGTACAAGACAAGAACCCATGAGTTCTAGAGAGCCACTCCTCTAAGTATGATACTATTAATTTTCGGGTGTACAACGCCGAGTTATCAGGAAACATTTCAATTAGTGTATTTCTCCATTCGGTAACTATATCGCTCTTAGCTTTAAGTTTGACAACATTTCTTGCTCTATGAGTAAGCTTACACTGATGCCTAAATTCAAGTTCCGAAATTCGATCGTATACTTTTTCCTACTTTTAGCCAATATGATAAAAGGAGGAATTCTTGCCAAAAGCAATGACGCCGTCAGTGACACCGTGCAATAGGCTGAGATAACCTTGATCGATACTCGCCTCTGTATTCGATCAATCGCTTTTAAATTCCTTTTTGTAAGAACCTCGTCCGTGGCCCATATCGGGACACCATACAATAATATGGAATGAACAACGCTAGCATATAACTTGCGCTTATCAAATTTAGGACCACGCAGATTAGGCATCAAGAGGTCAAGCCGCGGTAGCACTCTTTCCGCCTTTCCCGAAATCATTTCAAAGTGACAAGCAAACTTCCAACTATCGTCAATTATTATACCGATATCTCAACTTATTGGTAGACTGGAACTCCATCTACCAGAAAAGTGAGCCTCCTATCTTTTATTCTACCTGGGCAAAACAAGCCTCCGTACTAGAGGGAGCAACTTCAAGCTCTAAACTCTTAATCTTGCTTATCACAAATTAGATTCGTTTTGGAAGTCAATAAATTAAAATTCTTACTGCTAACGATGATCAACGTGTCATCCGCAAAACACAAAGTATATGAGCCAAATAGCATCCCAATGCTTAGTACACAATCATATGTGATGTTCCACAGTAGCGGGCCCAGAACAAAGCCCTGCGGGACACTACACGTCATTGGATAAGATATAATGACCATTCTTCTTAACAGATAGAACACGACGATCGGATAAATAATCCATTAGTACGCGAATTATGTACAAAGGTACCTGCTTATCCTTTAGCGCTTTAACAATATGCTTCCACGACAAAGAGTTGAAAGCATTACGAATATCCAGGCTAATAGCCAAGCAGTACTCGCCCTCGTTAGTATGATTCCGAATTATTCGCTGCATTCTAATTATTGCGTCATTCGTAGACCTACCAGGCCTAAAGCCATATTGTTGATGGCTAAGACGACTCTGAAGGCCACATTCCAGATGGGAAACTATTTTGTTGAACAATATGCGCTCAAATATTTTCCCTACATCGCTCAACAGGCAAATCGGACGAAACGACGACGGTAGATCATCCAATTTACCCGGCTTACGCAAGAGAACCAGACGCGCTCACTTCCATTCAGAGGGAAATATACTCTCACGCATATATTTATCGAAACATTTAACGAAGAACGATGAGTTCAATGAGCAACAAAGCCTCAGGATACGCGCTGATAAACCATCAAGACCCGGAACCGCTTTACGGGAACAGGACTTCTTTATCGCCGCAATTACCTCGTCTTCAAGTACTGCAGGAATACCTTCATCCACTACGCTCAATGAGTTCTTATTCCATAATATAGCATTACGAGTAGAAAAGAGTGACTTTACCATATCGTCAATCTTGGCAAAAGACAAATAATCCAAGGGGGCATTATATTCGGAGCCACGAATCTTTTTCATTATAGCCAAGTAGGGTTTACCTCAAGGATTAACATTGATTTCTTCTAATAGCTCGTTCCAAGCCAGAGAACGAGATATCGCATTCTTCAGCTTCCGAGATCGCAGACTATACTGCAGACGGAAATCTTCGTACTGCAGCGGAGTACGATCCTTTCGTCTTCGAGCTCTGATAAGTTTCCGACGTTTGAATGCATAATCTACGCAATTCGGCTATCTTCTCGTTCCACCAGTAAGCCCTCCTTACGTGTATCTGTTTGGATTTAGACATGGACGAATCACAAACATGAGTTAGCAATTGAGTGAGCGAGAGAAAGTAATCATGGCTGAGCTCATAGGATCATACAATATATTAGCGCTTCGTAGGTATGCGTCTTTGAGCTTATCAGGGTCAGCCTTGTCCGGATACCATCCTTTGCGAACAAATGTATAAAATTTCCGCGATTCAGAATGCCCAAATTGCCACGTATATATCTGTGGTCCAACAGGGATTCCAGGTTACTCAGCAGCTTCCATGAAAAGCCATCTCGTACCACTCTACTGGAAACAAGGATAAGGTCAATGATCGACATTCCCTGATCCCTCTCACAAGTAGGACACGAGCTATTATTGGCAACTAGTAGACTCGTCGAGTTAAGCCATCTCTCCAATAGTATATCTCGATCGTTGATGATAGTGTCTCGCCAACTTGTTGATTTCGCATTGAAATCTCCAGCTATAATCATTCTTTCCATAGGATGAAAACGCACTAAGTCGTAAAGATCATCCAGGAAGCTGCTAAACTCTACGAGAGGACGGTTAGGAGAGAAATAATAACTGACCATCAGACGATTATTGACATTCAAAGCTATGAAGCCATCCCCGGATTTGATTCGCGATATGGAAGGAGTGCCACTCGTGTCAAATAGGAGGACTGTACTTTTATTACAAGCGGAAACATACCAGTCCATCCCTCTCTGTCTTATACGGTTCGGAAACAAATACGAGACTAATTCGCCTTTCTTTCGCGTCAATGCATCATAATATCTTGTGCCTTCTTACAATGATTTAAATTGATTTAAAAGGATTTATAAATCATTAGTTTCCATTTCTACCGCTTTACTAGTGTCCTCCAACCTTCGTACCGGTTTCATCCTATCAGGAAATTTTAACGCATGACATCTATTATTTCCTAGTCTATGGTCTGACTGAAGATCAGCTTCAAAGCAAAGAATGCATTTGGGTTCGCGATCACAAGTATTAGACGAGTGTCCTTTTTCACCACACCTATAATAAGTACCTGTACGATCCATGGAACTTTTACAGTTTACGGCTTAAGTGCCCAAACGAGAAGCACCTGAAACACTGGACCGGACGTTCTTCCATCAAGTCTATTCTTGCTTCCGTCCAGCACACTTGTATCCTTCCTAATCGAGACAGTTTAATAGCCGACAATAATGGACAACGCATCCATACAACTAGAAGGCCATTATTTGCCCGAATTCTATTATTAATCTTAATCTCACTAGTTTTACAGTCATCCTGAAGGGATACTACTTTAACAATTTCCTCTTTCTTAATAGAATTATCGATCCCGGATATTTTAATACTGACCATTTTTACAGGGCGCGAAATTACAACACTGGGGCTAACAATTTGTCTAGTCACTAGCCTGTCGGCTTTCTCCACATTATTTTCCCCATGTACTTTTATCAACAAGTCACCCGATTAAGTATACCTTGTTCTTGTACGTTCAATATCCAACTCAGATAGAACAAATCATTTCGCGAATCTTGAAAAATGCTTCATCGTATGACTTACTTTGGGTAGACTTTATGGTAATAGCAGCCGTTCTAGGAGGTTTCCTTTTATCCCCAGGCGATACACCACTTCTCCTAGGTAATCCTTGTCCTACTCCTGCTTCTTTGTTTCCCTTGTGACACTTCCCTTCCATGCAAGGGGTTCCCTTTCTTCCTCTCCCCTGATTGGGTAGAGAGGAGGGAAGAGGCGAATCTCTCGTTTCCTTCTTCCTATTCTTTTTCCTCCGTTTCTTGTTGACTTGTATCCATTCCACCTCCGTGTCCGTTGCAGTAAATGGAATCGCCTCAGATATAGAAGGATCCGTTTCTCCAGGAGTTTTTACGCAAGGGTGGCTATTCTTTACTTAATTTAAGTTTTTTTATTCTTTTCTTTCATCATCAATTTCTTCGTTACAGGTGTCCCCGAATTCAACGTCGCTGCGCATACTATCACCAACAGATAAGTGAACTTTATATAGTGAATTTAAAGACCGCACTACATTTTTTGAAATTAACGAGACTAGCTCCTTGTTATTAATTTCCGGAAACTGTTTCCTTTGAATTTTTAGGGGCTGCACAGACCTCACTATAATTAGGACTACGTTTCCTGGTGGAGAACCAGGCGGCGACTTCCTAGCCGAAGTCGAGGGTGCCATCAATTTCTCGTAATATTCTCTTGTCTTTTTATTCTCAAGTTTTAACTGCTTATTATCCTCCTTGAGCCTAGAAATTTTCTCTTTCAGCAGCTTTATTTCTCGAGTCATATTTGCTACAGATTTGCCTAGCTTTATCCTCACTACCACCTGATTGTGCCCGCTCAGATAAAATGCATGTTATTTCCTTAATTTTTACAAGACTCTTCCTTATCCTGCCAGAGAGCTTGCCCTGGATTCGCGGGGATTTAGCTCGCATTAACATTGTCAACCAACTGCACGGCCTGCGAACCCAATTTATAAGTAGGAGCGAGCGTGTCAATCGGATCATCCGCAGATTCATCATCAGGTGAGTTACTTTCAGATTCAGGCAGCGTCGTAGCTTTTCTTTTCCTCTTCATCCTGGAACTATTACTAGTTGTCGACATAGCATCGTCATCATCCGGTCTAACAAACCAATCCTCTTCACCCAACGCTCAAGAAGGATCGGCGTCAGTCGGTGAGGGCCTACTCGGAGATTTATAATTAGGATCCCTTGGTCTACCCCTTTGTTTAGGAGGAGCTAGCGCCCTCAAGTTAGAAGCACTCAATTCCACTTCCGAGACACTCCTATCACCAATCGTTGGTGACATGACGATGTCATCCACCGGAGCTT